ATTCTGATCTTGTAACAATGTTTATATTTGCTCTAGATGGTTACTGCTAAATATCTGACTGCCAATCTGTTAATTATATGAGAATTGGACAGAGATATAAAAATTCATAAAAAGAAATACAAAGAATATAAAAAATTTTAATATTTTAAGTATATTATTACATTTATTCATTACATTTATTTTAATTTATATGAAAAATATTTAATTGCAGCTAATTGTATTCCAACCAAATAAGAATAATCAAAATAAGAATAATAAACGACCACGTTGAAAGCGATTTTATTATGAAGAATTTGTTACTAAAATCATTACATTTCATTCTTAAATATGGATTAAAAATGTGTCGATATTATCAAGAATTAAAAAAATTACTAAATAAATTTAGTATAAAAGAACTTGCTATATGCATAACTTAGAGTTTTGTTTTTAACATTGATTATTATAATATCGATTATGAAATAATGTAATTTCAAAATTTATTATTTTATTTTAACAAAAAATAAATAAATCGTTACTTTCTAAATAACAGTAATGATAACACGTTACTTTTTGTAAGAAATAACAGTTCTCAATTCTGTACATAATTAAGCATTCCTTTGTAAAATATAAAATAAAATGTAGAAAGAGATTATACATGTGCACACACACATATCCATACATACATACATACCATATTTATATACAATAAAATCATGTCGCGTCAGTCCCATCATTTTACATTAATCACGTTGGTACGTACGTAGCAATGTATTCGCAATGTCTCTATCCCGCAGTTTCTCCACTTGTGCGCGCATTCGCAGCGCCAATCTATTCGAATGCTTTAGATACATCGCCGAATGATGTATCGCAATCGCATAAGGAACAGGACACCAAGTTTGCCTGATTATTTCGCGATTTTATCACTAGCGTGATGTAGCTTTCTATGAGCGATGTGTCCTCCTGCTCCTCCAGGTAGAGATATTTTTTCATCGGAAACACAAACTTCTCTATCTGAAGCTTCAAGTCGCAACGCGCGTGTTCCGACCACAACAATTTCCGATAATGTGGATCATGTCTTTGTGTCATCGGTACATCATCGTCGCCGTACGAGCTCGAGCAGAAATGTTCGCACAGCGCCGTGAACAGATCGGTAAAAGAACTCAGCCCTGGCAACTCCATTCGGAAATTCAATCGCCCGTAGTATGTCTTCAGTAGATTCGAGAAAATATTCAGTAGCAACACGGACACATCGTTGTTCAAATAGGCGATATCGCAAAGGTACACCAATATTAATCTACTGAATCTTAAAGTAGGCGATAGCCTATCCATTAGATAGGGCAAAATCAGTGCTAGACTCAGAACCGTTAAGATACTATTTTTATCTTCCAGCTGTAACTTAACATCATTTTTGCAATTTGTATATATGTGAACCAGCGGCAGGAAAAGCCAGACCTTCGGCATCGCTGTCTGGTCCCAGTCGCCGTTTGGTGTGATGTATCTCTCATAAAGCAAGCAGGATTGCAAACCTATTTGAATCTGATCCATCGTGGATGCTAGATTTATTTTTGTCAAGTCATTAGTGATAATCTCTAAGTTCAGTTTCTCGCTCGACAACGCGATTTGAAAAAGCTTTCTCACATGGTCCGTAGCATCCGCAGATAACGTCGAGAAGCTTAAT